AGCAATGATGGTGATAATAATAATAATAATAATGAAAGAATAATAGTATTCATAACAATAACATTAATAATGACAATAATAACATTGATAACGATAATACTAATAGCAATAATAATAATGAAAACAAAAAAATAATGATAATAGCAATGATACTAATAGCAATAATAATAATAATAATAATAATAATAATAATAATAATAATAATATTATTATTAATAATAATAATAATAATAATAGCAACAACAGCAATATCAATAATATTACTATTAATGATAACATCAACAAAAACCATAACATTAGCAACAACAAAAATAAGAATAATATATACAATGATAATAATGATAGTCATAAGTGTAATTCTAATGCTAAAATCCTGATAATAATTATTATCATTAGTATTCTTACTAATATAAACATCACTATAATTATCATTATCATTGTTATTATCATTGCTATTTTCATTGTTGTTGTCATTATCATTATCATTACTATTTCAGTAGTAGTAGTAGTAGTGCTATTATTATTATTATTATTATTATATTATTATTATCATTATTATTATCATTATCATTATTATTATTATTATTATTATTATCATCATTATTATTATCATTATTATCAGTATCATTATTACTATTATTTTCATCCTCATCATTATCATTACTATCATTATTATTGCTACTATTATCTATATTAATATGAAAATTATTATTACCATCTTTATCATCAGACATGATATAAATGAGAAATAATATCTTCACAATAAAGATATGCATTTAACCGGTTTCGAATAGATCATCTGACGAAAATATATTCGAAACCGGTTAAATACATCTCTCGCATTATGAAGATAGTCATTCTCATTCATACTTTTCGTACATGAATAAATTAATATTACCATTATTATTGTTAGGATTTTCATTATCACTATTATTATTACTATTATTGTTATATTACTATTATTACTACTATTATTAATATAGTCATTCTCATTCATACTTTTCGTACATGAATAAATTAATATTACCATTATTATTGTTAGGATTTTCATTATCACTATTATTATTACTATTATTGTTTTCATTACTATTATTATTATGATCATTATATTATTATCATCAGCATCATTACTATTATAATCATTAACATCATCACCGTTGTTGCTATAATAATCATGTTGTATTATTATTATTATCATCAGTTTTGTTATTTGATTTTAATATCATCATTATTGTTATTAGTATTACCATTATTATCACTACAATTAGTATTGTTACAATTATCATCACTATTATGATTATTGTTATTGATGATGCTGTTATCATCATTAATAGCATCACCATTATCATTATTATCAATGTTAATATCATAATCATTATCATCATATTTTATTCTCATTATCACTACGATTATCATTATTAGTATATATTATTATTATAACTATTATCATTAATTACAATTATCATTGTCATTATTATTATTATTGTTATTATTACTTTCCCCATTTTAATCATTATCATCATTATCAGTATTACTGTACTTACCATGTTATTATTGATATTATTACCATAATTATCATTGTCATTGCCATTATATCAGTGTCATTAATATTATTATCATTTTTCCATCATTAGTATTGCTATTATCATTATTATCATTGTCACTGTTTTCATTTTGTGTGTGTGTGTGTGTGTGTAAAATCAATAATGACAAAAAACTTCAATGATAAGAAAGCAAAATTTTACTTCGTGAATCATTTCATAATAATAATAGCAGCAGCAGTTGTAGTAACATTGACCATAATGATAATGATAATAATACCCACCTCCCCCAAAATAGAAAAGAATAATAGCAATAATGATTATATTGATAATAAATATGTAATAATAATAATAATAATAATAATAATAATAATAAATAATAATATAATAATAATAACAATAATAACAATAATAATAATAATATAAGAAGAAGAAGAAGAAGAAGAAGAAGAATAATAATAAGTAGAAGAGGGATAAGAAGAATAATAAATATATTATTGCTGATAATGGTAAGGATAATGATAATAATGATAATAATAATAATGATAATAATAATAATAATAATAACAACAATAAAAGTAGCAATAATAAGAAGACTGATAATTAAAATAAATATAATAACAACAACAATCATAACAATTCCTGTTATTCGTGTTATTATCCGTTTTCTTACCACCAATACTACAAGCACTGACCATTAACAATACAGGTAAAATTAAAGACATTTCCAAGTATCATAAGTTATTGTCACTGTCATCATCATCATCATCATCAATAGTGAATCGATTTCTTACTCTGATCATGATCTGATTACTCTGATTCATCATCTCTTTAACGCTTCCTTATTCTTACGATCAGCTGTTGCTGTTGTCGTTGTATTTGCTAAGATATTATTGTAGTTACTGTAGTTGCTGAAGCGTTCTCTAGATATATCTTATCATTCCTGGATGTTGATGCAATTATCATCATTATTATCATTTTCCTTATTATCTTTTAATCAGACTACATCTATTATAGATATATTAATCATTGCTAATATCAAAATACTGCGATCATCACAGTCACAAAACCATAGTTATCACAACAATAACAAGAAAAATGATTTTTAAATTCTCATTTTCAATATCACCCACACCACAAGCCATAAAAACACCAATAACATTAAAACTGATACAATTCGAGTTTTCTCCCCCACCAAAAAGAATGCCCGTAATAACCAAGCCAGTGTTAAGAGAGGGTTTAATGGCAGGGGTAATAACAACATTTAGAAGGTTTAATGGAGGAAGATGCCAATCAGTATATTGATAAGAGACTCAATTACAGTGAAACGCGTTCGGGACATGGTTAATGCTAATGCCAAAAGTGGACAAGATGACACTGATAATGAAAATAGTTACAGTGCTGTCAATGCTGACACTGGGGGTTGTCAGCATAATCTGCAACGAACGGAAACTTTCCAGTTCTGAGGCGAGTTCCTGTCTATAACGTTGCTTGTTAAAATACATACTGAGTGTAAAAATTGCAGTAGTAAAAAGGAAGAAATTATATGATGAACATCCCATTATGCTAACTGGTTCTAAATAGCAAAGTACACTAATGATCCTGAGAATGATGATGATGAAATAGCAATAGGGTACATATGATCATACAGACAACACCAACAGTACCATTACCACTACAGTCATAATGGACATCAATAAATCCACACGATGACAATGAGGATAACAAGCCAGCCCCGGTCAAAGCCACGGTGGAAGGACACAAACTCCAAAATCGATATGTGTGGAGAAGGTCATCGGTAGTGGAGTAATTACAGCTTTAACCGGCGTGATACGAGTGCGTGTCACCGCCTACAGACCAATTACTCAGGTAACTACAGGTATTGACAGAAGGGGCCAGATACACTCCAGATATCCACAGTCCTGAAGACCACTGGACACATTAGCCTGCCCTCCCTCCCCCTCCAGCCCTCCTCGACCCACCCACCTCCCTCCAGCGGCCCTCTGAGCCCTTACGGATGAACGAAGGGGGAAAGGGGGGTAGGGTCAGGTAAATATAACCGATCGGGGGTGGAGGGCGTATGTCACTGTTCTTCACCCCCACCCCCCCCCCCGGGTATCGTCGGCCATCTTGGGTATAACCCGTCATGATAGCGGCAACCTACCTTCAGCCCCCGGCTCAGGATGGGCATCTTGGGTGGGACTGGCGGGACAGCTCGTCGCTCCTGTGTGGGGGAAGCCTCCGAAAGGGTTTCCCGCGACCGACATTTGGATTAGCTAGCCACCAGCACCACGTGAAGAACGTCCAGTGGCATGCTGGCGTGTTTTAATGAATTTTGGTTAAGTGGCGGGCTCCTCCTTTCCCACATATCCACAAATGAAACCACAGCGGCCACAAACGTCGACAAACCCTCTTATTCCTTCGTTGTTGACATCCGCTGAGTCCATCTCCCAATGGTGCCGTTGGAGAGAAGTGTCAGAGTGCGCACTGAGTGGCACTGGTAAACACGGGTTATGCTCGGTGAGTGGCCTGCTCCGTCATTTGCTGAGCTGAGCGCGGAGAGGACACACTAGAAGGCGCCGCTCCTCTCTGGAGAAGTACCTGAAAATGTAACATCTGTTTCGAATATAATAAGGTTTTAACACAGGCTGTAGCGAAACACCGTGGGGCGACCGCCATCGAACGCGTTGGTCCAAAAGACGAGTCTGCCTAGAGAAGGTGGAGATAAAAGTAGATGGTAATAAAGAATAAAGGTGGCTTTTCCGGAAGGGCCCTAGCGGTGGCGGTGGGAGGTGTCGGCGCGGATGTAGGCAGCGGCCGCGTCATAAGCTCCGCCCATATGGTCTTCAAGCTGTCCGAGCCGCGCGCCCACACCACACTTCCACCCCTGTTTTGCCGAGATTTTTTAACCTCCCATTTGGGAGTACATGCTCACACGGCAAGACGATAATTTTGAGATTTTTTTGACGTAGACTAGAAGACTAGACAGTTGTTGGGCGAGACGGACGATCAGTGGTGGAGGTAAAGTTGATTTCCCGTACACACTGATAACCGCTGGAGACCCGGCCCTCGCTCGCACCACGAGGCGGGACTTCTAACGCCCGCGGATTAATTCACTTCGCTGCCTCGAAATCTCCGTTCTCCTGTGTCATTCTAGACCCTAGGAGGATGCATGTGCCAGGCCTGTAATTCTAACTGAAGCACCGACTAGTGAGGATAGCAGTGTTAGGTTTTCCTCTGCCGTCCAGGCGAAGAGTCAGCAACCGGTGGATTTTTTGTGGTCATGTGCGTGTGAAGTTGATCACAATCGGCAAGCCCGAAGGTGTGACGTGGGACGCGGATGCCCCGCCTCCCGCGCTCTCTGATTGGCTGAGCGGGTGTTGACGGACCAATCAGTATTGTTGGCGGGTGTCGGCCGCTGGTGTGGCGGTCATGACTTGGTGGTCGCCAGTGTAGGTG